AATTAAAAGGCATTAAAATAAGCTGCAACGCTTATTATTTTAATCCAATTTTGCTTATTTTAATACCAAAATGGATTAAAATAAGCAAAATTGGATTAAAATAATAAGCGTTGCAGCTTATTTTAATGCCTTTTAATTTTCTGTGTGTAACAAGTCACTTTCAATATTGTCCCATTAATAAGCCAATCGTTTAATAATTATATAATTATTATTATAATCGAAATAGTTTTTTCTTAGCTCCTAAAAGTCTCTTCTAATATAGGAAGTATATATATATATATCTTAATATATAAGTCAATATACTAAGGATTATTATTGGATTCATAGTATAGCAAGGTTAGAAGATTCTCTATCCCCTTGTGTTATTTAATTTCACCCTCAAATCTATAAGAGATTATCTTCCGCTTGATACTAAGATTACTATATGTATGCTAACGACACCCTTCTTCAGTATATATAATACGTCATACACGCGCTACAAATATACATTGACCAGACTACGCGACACTTTTACGCTTCCTTTAATATGAACCTTGTTTATTGACCTGAATGACGTCTTGTCATTAATAAAAATTTTCGCTTATTCACATAATTTCAATATATTTAAATACCTGCATTCTTGTCAGTATACAATATATATATACATATATATTTATTTCACTAATGTAAGATGTATTATATCGGAAAAGCCCTTAAGACTTGAGGATTTTTTCTGTTCCAAATGAGGGGTTACTTTTTTTTTAGGGTGAATGCGACGACTATATCAAGTCTAACACGAAACCAAACTAACAGAGATTCATGCGATCATTAATCTTTTAATTTTTTTCACGAGGTTATATAATATATGGGTAGTTCTACAAATAAGAGAATTCTACCGGTATAATTCTTTTTTTTTATACAATATAGTTTTTGTTGAAATTTTGGTAAATATAATAAATTTATTTTTTTAGGAAAATATTGTAAATCTTTCTTATAAAAGATAAAAGCACCAGTACCTGGAGGCTATTGAATAAGGGATCTCCAATTTATCAGTGTTTTTTTTTACTAAGATAATTCATTATAATTAATAAAATATTTATAGTTTCGTTTTATTTACCTTTAAAGGATACTAATTAGATAAAATTAATCATAATAATTGATGTTTTAATTAAATTGCTCATTTGCAGCAGAAGTTGGACACGGTATTTGCAAAAGCTGTAGACAGTTGGACATGATATGGTCCAGTAGTTGGACATTAAATAACTAAATTATTATTTATTTATAGTAATTAATTATTAAATTGTAATTTATTTTTATTAATTGATAAACTAATTAATGTAATTAAACTAATTAACTTAATTATTTGACGAGTTAATTGAATTAAATCATTGTTCAACTATTGGGTACGACATATATTTACAAGCAGCAGGTTAACTTGAACGCACCATTTTAGAAGAATCATTCTATTAAATTCTTTTGCTCCTACGATTAATAAATTTTATTCTACCTAAAAGCTAATTATCTAAAGGATATCTCAAAATTTTTTTTTTTTTTAAATTAATTTGGAGGCTATTTTAATTTCTTTTTGCTACTGTCCATCTACTGGTTCCAATTTTTGCTATGTTCAGGTACTGCTGCCTTTACCTTATGCGATATTATTCAAAAACTTTAACATCCGAGTAAAATATTATAAAACAGGTTACGAATAATTTCGATTATTTATTTATTATTTCGATTTGAAAATAATACCTAGTTATCCTACACCTAATTATAACTTGTAAGTTTTCAGCAAGTTTACAGATTACTTGGTCCACTTTTCGGAAATATTGATAAAATTCATGTTTTACATTTTGTTAGAAATTTTTTATACCCTTAGGGAAATAATTTGTTTCCTTAATTTCTTTAAATAAAATGTAACTATATTTAATAATTATCATTTGTTATTTGGTTTATCAAATTTTATTTTGCTAAAAAATTATATATATTTTTCACATAAACAGTGGAACTTAATATAATTTAAAAAAAAAACATCCTCTTTGAAAATATATATTTCTTGCTCTCTTTAACCTACCCTTACCAACTGACCGTAATAATATATGTTCGTTCAAAGAAAAATAAAAAATTACCTGAATTATTTTTTCACTTTTCCACATTCTCTCTCTCTCTGTGAAAGTATAAAGTGAAATGTCAAGTATTAAATTACGATTGTTAATTACACAACTATTTTTAAAAACTGATTTTGTAAATTGTAGAATTTGTAGTTAGTTCAATTTTTTTCCAAATGTTATAAAATATAAAAAAGAAATTTAATTTTCTCCCCCCAAAAAGTAAAATGTTTACTTTCTTCAGTGAGTTCACAATGTTCATAAAATTAGTAATCAATGTAGGATTATTAATTTCCTGCAGTCTGGCAATAGAAAGTGGTGACATAAAATGGATTGAAAGTTTCATCAAAAGTACAAATAATGATAAACACATTCATCAGGTTGTATTTTTAATCAACGATGAGAAGGCAATGATTTACGATAATCCAATTGTCAATGAGATAATTAAGAAATTATCCTCTACTATTTCTGTATGCAAAATTGTCTTACCAAATTCTGACAAACCAACCATTACCTACAATCCACGCATTTCGTTATTTATTGTCACAAATTCTGAAAACGATCGCAAATTTACTAGAGCAATCAATTACTTAACTCAATTATCAGAAGCAAAATGTCGACCAAAATGTTTGCTACTCCTATCCGAACATCTTTTAAATTATCGCCAATTTTTCGAAACACTTTGGAATCAACAATTTCTCGATGTTACTATTATGAAAATTGAAAAACCTGACACAATTTTGAATAATGTTGAAAAAGACAGTAAGTTAATTTATTACAATCCTTTCTTAAAATTGATTACTACTGAAATTGTATCCGATAAAACAATTTGGTTTCCTGACAAGCTACAAAATTTACACGGCTATCCAATAGTAGCATCTTTAATTCCTGCTCCTCCTGATGTGTTTGCACAACAAAACCCACTGGAAAAACTATCCGGATTAGCTATCAGAAAAATAGAAATTTTAAAGGAGATTTTAAATTTTACATTTGTCAAATCATCGATTAAAGATTGGGGTACATTGACATGTTCAAATGCAAAAGGTCCTGGTGCTTTAGAAGCACTGTTCAATAATCAAGTTCAAATATTTGGTTTAGAAAGAACCATTGCACTTTGTAATGGAAAAGGCATTGAGTTCAGTAAAGGTTTACGTACAATGGATTTAGTAATGATGGTGCCTCTTATAAAGAAAAATGTCGAATCTATTAAAGTCCAATGGCACAAAACAAATATCATAATTGTATTGATTTTACCTCTTTTTGTTTGGATTATTTCTCGACTCATGAAATTTCATTCAAAAAAATGGAGATTCGAATATTTAATTCGAATAGTTTTAGGTTTTGCTGTGCCTGAAGAACCTCAAGCAACATCGGATAAATTTCTTTTTTTGTCATTTCTTATTGCCTGTCTAATGTTTTCATCTGATATTTTTACATCAATAACTCGAGTTAAGTTGGAAAATAAATCGTCATTTAAATATGAAACATTTAAAGATGTTCTAGATTCAGATTTGGAAATTATGTTCGAGAAAAATTACTTTATGATGATTAATAATACAGACGATGTTATTTTGAAAGAAATTTTAAAGAAATCTCATCCAATGATGTTCTCGGAAGATGAATGTTTAAAGCGTTTATTGAAATATAAAAATATCACATGTTTTTTTGAATTATCAACAGCAAAATTAATGCTACAAAATAGAAGAGATAAATGTGGTGGAGCGATTGTAAAATTTTTTACCAAAAAATTTCCATCTGCACCAGGTGCTACGCTGCTTGGTGCTGGTACTCCTTATGCTAATCGTTTTGATCAAGTGATACAGAGACTTATTGAATCCGGTATCAGTAAACAGTGGATGAAAGATTATTCAACAGTTCCTTCCTCTAGCCAAATTGGTAAATCTTGCAATTCAAGACAATCAAAATCGACTTTAGTGACACGACAAATGATTTTTATTCTTGTCATTGGATTCGGATTTGCGACACTGACTTTGATTTTAGAGTTGATCAGCTATTGTGTATTGTATAGAAAAAAATGGAAGAAGAATACTGGATAAATAAGAGGAAAAAAACAGAATTATTTATGAGAGGAAATGTTCTCTCTTATAATAAATGCGATAGAAACTGATTTCAAATAATTCCAACACAAAGAGTTAATCAGTGTGTTTGATGATTTTTTTTTTATTTTCCTTTTATGAAAAGAAGGAAAAAAATTCACCTTTATCCTCTTTGACATTTTTAACGATTTCACGGTTTGTTAAATGTTTCACCTATTCTGAACTAGAAAGATTTTGCAATTGTGATTCACAAGATTAATTTCTCTATACCTACGCACAAAATTATCCTTAAAATTTTTCCTGCACTATTTTCTAAATATTGTAACGTTACATTCAGTTTCGTTTGAATATTTTCCATTTGCTTTCGAGCACAACTGAAAAGCATATTATAATTAAAATTGTCTTCTTTAGTTTAAACGGGCAAGGAAATTTTAATGAAACGGAGATATTTTTGAACGCTTTAATTAAACAGAATAAATTAAATAATTTACTCTATATTTTAAAATCAGCATATACAATTCCTGCTTTTATATGTATATGGTTCCCTTTGTAAATTGGAGTTACAAGAAATTAAATAGCAGACAATGCTTCTCAATTTCTGTTTAATTAGTCACGTATAGGCGCCTCATCAATGCTAGACGTGCATAACATTCTGTAAAGTGACTTTTCCAACTTTGAATACTGACAATGTTTTTGTCGCCGGAAGTATTTTTCTTTAAAATTATATATATTTTCTTGCCTTTACCAATTCTAAATTAGTTTATTAATTTTAATTCTTTGTCTTTTGCCCCTTTTTAGTAAAATACCTAACTTAATGAATTATTTTAGGTAAAGAAATAAATTTTTTAATCACACGTACCTCAGTATACTTGAATTGAACAACTTCCATCCTGAGTTTATTTAAATGAAAACATGAACAAAACATATATTGCAGCGTCTGAAACATTTAAGAGTGTTTATAATTATTATGGGGAAAAAAACGAACGTTATAATTTAGGTTGCATAATAACCTCGAACTTGATTATTGGTATAATAGTAGTCCAATAGTAATTAATATGAATGGAAATTTCGTTCTTTCCATTCGCTGGCTTTTTAGAAGGTCATAAAACGTCAGCCAATGAAATAAACGAAATTCCCATTTTCAATTTACCCCTCATTAACGAATTTGAGCATAGAGGCTATTACGCTATTTACAGACTTAATTCAAGTGACACTAAATTTAATTTTTGCTTTCTTTTTCTAATATATTTTTTAATCAATAATTCAGTTCAAATAAAATAGCATATCAATAATTATTAATAAAATTAATTAATTATAACTTTTTTTTATAATATTATAAAAATTTAAAAACCGTTATTTCGAAATCTAAATTTTGTTTTTTCGGCTTTTAATATAAATGGAGATAAAATTAATAAATTAATTATAAATCCACAAAAATATTTTCATTCATATTATTATCAGGGGGAAACAAAAAAAAACGAAACCGATAACTGGAAAAACCGAAATTTTTGAGAAATCAAAACCAAAATTTCTGATGACATTAAAACTTGAATACCGAAACTGTATATTTAAAAAAAAAACCGAAATCTGGAACCAACATTTTTTAAAAAGAATACAGAAAAGTGGAAACCGAAACAAAAAAAATTTAGGTTGTCATCCCTGTAAAATTGTTTAATAAATAAAACATGAAAATAATAATAATAATAATAAAAATAATAATTTACTGAATATTTTAAATAATAATATTTGTTTCCGTATTTACAATTAATTTTGAATAAAAAAAATATATATCACTTGAAAAAGTAAACGATAATTTTAAAACTCAATTATTATTACAAGCTCGAATTTATAACAAGTCAATAATTGCTTCGCTGATAAATGCATAATTGGAAACAGATATCAATAATAATACACACAAAATCATAAAATCGTGTGTTAAAAATTTTGTTTCAAACATTCAAAAATTTTCACTAACTATATTTCATTATTTTCTTTAATGATTCTAATTTTTAATTTCTTCCGTTGTAATAACAATAAAGAATAATAATAATAAAGAAATAGTAAAGTAAATAAATTATTTTAAAACGATGATAAAATATTAATAGATTTGTAAATTTAAAGATAATTTAAATTCTTGTATTAATTAAATTAAATTATTATTAAATTTAAAGATATTGTAATTGTAAATTATTATAATGTAAATTGTAATTATTTTGTTATCACAAACAGAAGGCAGTACAGTTATAATATTTAAGAAGAAGAATTATAGGTAAAAGATCAGTAACTAAATTGTAGCTGTGTGGTCAGAGTACACAGCTCGCGTTCCAAGGGTCCTGTGTTCGATTCCTCATGCGTGTGAGATTTTTCAAAACTATTCTTAAGTGTTTTATACACTATATTATGTAATAATTTTAAATAGAATGTATGTTAGAAATAAACAATTGTAATAAATTATTTTAATAATTATAAAAAATAATATAAAAAATAAAAATAGGAGAAAATAAATAAAAATATAAAGGAAAAATAAAAAAAATTTCGTAAATATTAAAAAATTTTGTTCTAAACTTTTATCATAATAATAATATATTAAAACTTTCTAATCAATATATATGTCCAATATTATTAAAGCTAAAAGAGGAAGTAATTAACAAATTTTTTTTTCAAATGACTTTATAAAAGACGTACACAGTTAAAAAAATTTGTGTCAATATAAAAACTCATTATAGTTTTTTTTTTACAAAAATATTTTCTCGACAGTTTGTTTATTAAAAATCCCGATCCAAGGGATTAATAATATATATGTATATGTTTCATAAATTTTGCGATATTTAAATAAACAAACACCATAAATATCTTCCTGAACTTGTTAATAAGTTTTTTTTTTCATTTTTTTTTTCGTACATATTTTACGTAAAAAATTTCCATGCATATGGGTAAATTAAAATATACGAGCAAATTTGAATCATAAATATGCTCATATATATATATATATAAATATAGATCAGAAATATAATAAAATGCCGCTTTTTGTTCGAGTGACCTTTATTTACAATTTAGAGGAAAGATATAATATTTGATAAAAAAAAAATAAAAATCAAGATAGAAAATAAAATTGGTTTCCAATTAATTATTAAAAAAAAAAAAAATTAAAAATATATCGAAATTAAAAATTAAAATAAAAAATATAGAAACAAAAAAAGTTCAAATTATTTGCCAAAAGAATGAAAAAAAAGTGGTTAATTTAAAAAAATTTGATTTATTTACAAAAAAAAACCTTCGTAAAATGAAATTGAGAGAGAAATCTCTAAAATATTTCAATGTAAAATTTTATTGTTCAATTTAAAAAAGTATCGATAGATGAGAATTTTTTATGAAGTAATATATATATATAGTTGCACATATATAGACTCAAAATATCAATAAGTTACACATCGTCGTGCATATATTCAAACAAAAGAAAATATTCGAGACCTTTATTATTGGTTTATATATATATATGAATATATATATATATATATATATATATATATAAAAATGTCCATTAAAAATATTAACAATACTTTTTTTCATATATGCAATAAATTTTTAAATCAAACAGTACAACGACAAACAATGTATACCATGAATATGAAATATAATTTATGTATTATTTATGATACAATACTAAATGAATATTAACGACGAGTTCTCTTTCAAAAGTCAAATAAAAAATTTTTATATCTAGTTATTTAATTTTATACTAAATTTATTACATTAACCCCTTTGAGATACAACAATTTTTTTCCCTTTTTTTCATTACTAAAGCTATATTTATGATCAAAAGAAAACAAAAAGTAATATACTTGTAAAAAATTGGAAATTTTTAACATTTTTTTCTCCCAATAAGTGATAAAGAGTTTTATGGATGAAAATTGAGTTTAAAATTGGAAATTTACTGAACTATATAATCCAAAAACAAATCACTTTGATTTGATCAAATTTTAAAAATCAAAAAAAAGTTGAACAAAACTTAAAAACTAATTTCAAAAGTAACTTAAGGGGTTAAACCACTCTAGAATTTTCAAAAAATCAAAAAAAATTTTTTTGCTTTAAAAGGTGCCTAAGGGTGTATAGAATAAGAAACAATATCAATTATAAGTCGAAACACTTTTTAATTTGGAAGGTCAATTATACGGCGCAGGCATTGCAGATTGAAGGTATATCCAAAAAGTCGTAAGTAAAACTTTAAACTCGTTTTTCTCAAAACTACATTTTTTGTGCTGGCCGGAAACATGACTTTTACAAATCTCAACCGATTTACTTAAAAATTAAACTGTAGCTTCTCAATAACATTATCTAGAGAAAGACGTACGGATTTTTTTTTATGTTGCATATTTTTTTTGTTATAAACAATTTAGTGTCAATTTTTTAAGTAAAAAACTCCGTTTTTCCTTAAAATGTTCGCCATTTTTGCAAAAATCAATTGAAAAAAAATCCCCTACGTCTTTCTCTAGCTTTTAAGATGTAAAAATAGAAAGAAATTTGTTTTTTGTTCTAGGATGAAAATTGGAGCTAAAACCTTTCCGGCCGCGACGCGATTCCTCTCAGAAAGGGTTCCTATCACGTACCTGTAAATTTGATATTTAAAAAAAAAATAATTAATGAAGTATATTTTTTTTCTCTTTAAAGTGTACCAAATAAAGATATGTAAACATATTTTTCAGTACATTTAAACTTTTCTTGAAAAAAAACTTCTAAAGTTATGCCTTTTTTGACGCTTTAGAGTGGTTTAACCCCTTAAAAAAAAGAAGTAATTATTTATAAATAATTAATTATAATTAATTTACAAATGAAAAATCAAAAAAATAAGAGAAAGATTTTTGTTCCTTTTTCTATCCTATATTCTTAAATATATGGTATTTATAATTAATAATTATCTATATATATATATTGTGGACAATGTAAATGTAATGTTAGATATCACTGAAAGAAGATTGAATGCCTTTCCGCAAAGGGACGAGAAGTCTTTTGAATAGGAAAATGGAAAAAACATATACGAAGTGCAGAAAAAAATGATATATATACCGCGCGAGTTTTAATAGAAAAATATGTAAATTTTATTTTAAATTAAAAAATTTCTAATTGGTAAATTTTAAAAATTGCGCCCTAATCTTTCTGTCTATTTTTTGTTCGGCCGTTTGTAATTTCGGACAAATTAAAATTCGGCGTCTTAAAAATTCGAACAAAATAAAATTCGGTCAATTCCCACATAGCACCGAAGATTTAATAAATATTTATTAAATATTTATTTTCAATGTTCGCAGTATTTAGAATAAAGGTTAAATAAAGCTTCTGTAAATATTTAAATGTCTGAACTTGAGCAAATGTTTAGCGAGAACCGTGAGTGAAGCTTGAAATTAAATATTCGTTAAAGGTTCGGCTCGAAACTTGAGTGAAGCTTTAAATGAAATATTCGTTAAAGGTTCAGCTCGAACCTTGATTGAAGCTTGAAAAAAATATTCGTTAAATGTTCGCCCAGATAGCTGGATTTTAAAATTATCTAATCATAAAGTATTAATTGTATTAATAATAATATAATTATATCTTTAATTTGAATCAGTTTAATGAATAAATTTATTTAAGAAATTTTAGTTTTCAAAAATGAAAAAAAAAATAATTCCTTAAATTTAGGGACTAATACTTGATTAAGCAATTTCTTAGAGACTTTAAGGGGACCGGGGATCAAACGCGGGTTCGACGAACGCAAACGCAATACCTAATCAACCGAGCTATACGAGCAACTGTGATTGTAAAAAAAAATCTTGCTCTTAAGCTACAAAGTGATTTTATTGGTTTGCGAAAACCAATAATAGTATATTACATTATAAGGGCAGAAAGTTCGAATTCCGGCACTGCGCGAAATGATGCCCGAGGCGAAGCCGATCGCGCAGTTTAGAG